TGTCAGGAAATTTCTCCTTAGTTCTAAGTTTCTTCTATTCTTGATTAGTTTCCACCCATTGCTTCTTGTCCTGACCTCAGGTGCTTTCGAAAATAGTTTGACTCTCTCTTCTTTGTGCCAGCCCCTGAGATATTAGAACAATGCTATCATGTCACCCCTAGTCCTTCTTTTCATCAAACTAGACATGCCCTATTCCTGCAACTGTTCTTTATATTATACGTAATATTATATAATAGTTTATTATTGTACAAGATCAAATTTTAAAGCCCTGCAAGCAATATGAAAACAGAAATATATGTTCTGAACATGTGAACAATTTAACCATGAAATCATTATTAAAGTACATTTTTTTAATGAAAACAGACTTTACAGTATAAAGTATAATGTTAAAATATTTAGCAGTACCTCTGTTTATTTATTTTAGCTTCTCTTGATTTGTCACTGAAGATCTTCAGCCTAGAAAACATATGTTGAGAGAGGAAGAGTTGATTAAGAGTCCCAATTAAAATTTTCAGTGTTTATAATACCAATTCACTGAATGTACCAATCCCCTTGTATTCCTTCTATCACCTAAAAATAATACTGCAAAACTGTGCCCAGGTACTGCATCAATCCTGATGCTTTCCTGTTGCTATTCCATCTTCTTTCCAAACCTATATCTTGTTCTGCACATGAAGAAGTCATAAATTCTGAGGTGTTGTGAACAGATTGTGCCACAAATATCTTTTTTAATCTTCCCCACATCAAGAAAACATCCTCACTGCAATAGAATATTTTCAGGGTTTTTTTTAAAGGTTACCTTTTGTGGATATTTTTTCACTTTCACTGTTAATTTTCTATTGTTTCCATTAACATACTCTTCACTTTCATTTATTAATAAGGAAGCATTTTTCACAAATTTCAAATGTAAACTTTTCTCTCAATTTCAATTTTTACATCTAACAGGGGTTACATTTTTGAAGCAGAGATTGGTTTGCCGTAGATACGGTGCTTCCCCGAAAATAAGACAGGGTCTTATTTTCTTTTGACCCTCCAAATAAGGGGTTGGCCTTATTTTCGGGGAGGCCTTATTATTTTTCTGGTGCAGGAAGCAGCAATCCCACCAGCCCCACCCTCTGCAAACTGCTTGAAAATCCCCCCTGATTTTGTCTCTTATCCTGTTTTCAGTCTGTGCTGAACTTCAGAACAGGGTGAGAGGCAGGAATATCCTCCTCCACATTTTCAAGCCGTTTGCAGAAACGCCCCATTTCGAGTCTTCAATGTGAATATGCAGGTGAGAAGCGACCTCTTATAGGCGTGAAAATCCATACACTTGGGACATTGGAAGAAGCCCTGCGAGGAGACGCTGCTGCCGAAGTGCAGGAAATCTCTCCCCCACCACCACCTGCAGATCGTCCTTTCAAAGAGGTTTCACCAGGACAAAGAGGTGGCTGAAGGCGGTGTTTGTGTCGCCTTCATCCTGGTGAAACTCCTCTTTGAAAGGGCGATCTGTGGGTGGGGATTTCCTGCACATCAGCAGCGGCATCTCCTCGCAGGGCTTCTTCTGATGTCCCAGGTGTATTGATTTCCATGCCTTCTTTTCCTGTTCCGTGGACAGAATTGCTGTGACTGTCACCGTTATGTAAGGAGGGCATGAGGCATTTAGGTTGTGTTGCTTGGCCTCCGGCTTCAATTGGCTGCAAAAGCGACCGGCGTTTGCTGGAGGCAGATACCTGAGTGGCACCCGTGAATCAGCTGTTTTGTGAATGGAGCGGCCCAGCTGATCCGATTAAGGGGCCAAGAACTCCTGAGGTGACCGGGGAAGGGCTGCCCCCTGTTCTGGCTAAACCCACCCCTTCACTAGGGCTTGTTTTCAGGGGAGGGTTTACATTTTTGCCCACCGCGAAAATCTGGCATGGCCTTAGTTTCAGGACATGTTGTATTTTCGGGGAAACACGGTAACTTCAGTTAATAACATAATATGTATTATTCCAATCTTTTTTTGAAATATTACATAGCATGTAATATTAAAGCTTTCATCTTCTGCAGCCTAAAATAGCATTTACACCTAGAAATTGTGCTGGTTTAGTCACTATAAAGATAGACATATGACACTGTAAGATGCCTACCAGATACTGTTACTAAAATACACAAAAATTATAGCAACCCAGCCATAGATTGCTTAAAGTTATATATTAAAGAAGTAAACTGCACAGCTCCTCTATGGGAAAAAATCTATTACATTTTGAAAAATATAAATTATTTTGCCTAAGACATTCTGGAATAGCTCATTCTTTTAAATCTAGATTGTTCAATGCAACTTATGCTTGGATCACTGTATAGTCTGAAAGTTGAGCGATGACAAGTGGATTTATTGTCTTGTTGATTTGAGACGATTTGCTGCTCATCCAAGTAGCTTCTTCAGTCTGAACAAGTTGGTTAAGGGAACCTGATTAAGCAGGGCCAATGTTCCAATTCCTCAAATTCTCAGGGTTATTCCTGCACCAACCTCAGGGTTTCTTCCTCAAAATGCGTGGCAATAAAGATTCTCAGTCATCCAGGTAATATTGTTTGAAGGATTAAGTCATGGCAACTGGACTTATTTCCTTGTTGATTTGAGATGATTCGCTGCTTATTCTAGAAGCTTAGCTTCTTCAGTCTGAAGACTCAAGACTCAAGTCAAGACTCAACTAGCAGACATTTCTACCTGGATGACTAAGAATCCTCATCCATGTATGACAATACAGTCTATCTTAATAGGAATCCTTAGGTTAACATTGCTTGGGGCGATGCAGTGCAACTTGCGAATCTAGCCCTCAACATGCTAGATTGTTACCAACATAATCAGATTCCACTTTTGTTTCTAAAAAGTGGAATGAAGCAACAAATGTAAACAAAGCTGCAAGTTGGGAAACAGATTTCATAAGAAGTGCAACTAAAAATTCTCTCATACTGGCTGTTGAAGGCACTTTTATAATATCAGACCACAAAGCCACAAGAGCATTTGGAAGAAAACAGAACTGTACCACAGAGGTTTCAGTTTTACATTTACTTAAAACCTATTGATTTTCGCTGGCACTTCCTTTAAAGAGCTAGAATTACTTTTAAAACAATCATGCCTTGCTTTCAAGGTACCATACTAATATCTCTCACGCTACAATATCTTAAAGCATGTTAGACTATTAACTAACAAATTGGAATTAAATCACTAGTTTTTAAAAAAAAAAAAACGGAAATAAGAAGTGTTCATTATTATGTAAGCGTATCAGAAAAATTAAAATGCATTTTGGAGGGAGTCCACCTCAAAAATTCAGGACAGTTTAGGACACTATATTAAGAAGGGAAAGCCTAGGTTAGGTTTAGGTTTAATTTATTTGTATGCCGCCCTTTTCCCTGAAGGGACTCAGGGCGGCTCACAACTCAAAANTTCCGAGGTGGGTAAAATGAAGACCCGGATTGTTGGGGGCAATTGGCTGACTCTGTAAACCGCTTAGAGAGGGCTGAAAGCCCTATGAAGCGGTATATAAGTCTAACTGCTATTGCTATTGCTATGACTAAATGCCAAAGGCACATGGAATGCTGTTTCCTTCCCACCAAAGGTGGTTCCTATTTTTCTACTTGCATTTTTACATGCTTTCGAACTACTAGGTTGGCAGAAGCTGGGACAAGCAACGGGAGCGCACTCTGTTACACAACACTAGGGATTCGAACCACTGAACTGCCAAACTTTCTGATCAACAAGCTCAGCATCTTAGTCACTGAGCCACCGCACCCCTCTAATTCATCTAACTAATTTATATCCAAATGTTCTTGAAGATACCTATTAAAAATCAAAGCTCAAGTTTCAATTGGCCTGCTAATTAAAAGATCATGGATTCCTGTGTGATCAATCGTTTCAAATTTATTCCTAACAGCTATTCATCTTACAATTATTTGCCAACAGGAAATGAGATACTCTGATTTTCTTGAGAAAAGAACGACAACTTGAACAACAAATTTAACATCTCAGGTCATCCAAAAACAGCTGGTCTCTGCTATTGCAATAGTGTTTTTTTCTTCTCTACTAAGAAACTAAAAAAACGTGACACACCAGGAGACCACGATGAAGGATAGAATCCTAAAACCAAAACAATTTTTTCTAATGTCTTCATAGTAAAAGTTGAAACACATTCATTCAGAAGTTTCCAGCAGCCAACTACTCCCACTCTAAGCAGGAGGTATTTTAATAATTTTCCCACGAAGAATGCTACATGTATGAAAGTATTTGCACTCCTTAAGATAAAAAGTTAATTTAATATGTTTGCTTACACATCAGATAGAAAGGATTCTGTGAGTAAATCAAATATATTCAAGCTTACCTTTTTGTCTTTTTATAATTTTCATGCTGTAATATTTGCATATGCTTGTATCTTTGCAATTCGCACTGTCCACGAAGATCTTCAAGATGTAATAAATGATGCTCCATTTCTTTAAAATGTGCTTCCAATTGGACTTTGTTAACAAAACATTCAAACAAGGTATGTAAGTATCACTTCTCAAATAGATCATGATTACTTTTGATACAATTTCATGCAAAATAACCTCACGCATTATAACATATACTACCAGAACCCCAAATTCTCACAACAAAACATTTCAAGAAACAAACATATTAAGAACCAAGGACAATTTTTTTTTATGCTAGTTCATGGGGAATTCTCTTTTCCATTACACAGACACCGTGATAAAATTGGTACAGTGAATGACATATTAAAGGGAAAGAGGAAGTGTCACAGGACACCTGCTTTCCTTTCAATCCTAACTTATCTTCCCATCAGGCAATTTGGAGAAGACTACTTGAGACAGTTGGTTACAGAAGAGCCATGGTGGCACAGTGGTTAGAATGCAGTACTGCAGGCTACTTCTGCTGACTGCCAGCTGACTGCAATTTGGCAGAATGAAGGCTCAAGGTTGACTCAGTCTTCCATCCTTCTGAAGTGGGCAAAATGAGGATCCAGATTGTTGGGCAATATGCTGACTCTGTAAACCGCTTAGAGAGGACTGTGAAGTGGTATATAAGTCTAAGTGCTATTGCTATAATGCACAATATTTTTCAAGGGTTTTCTAAAATAATTATTCAAGAAATGAAGCTCCTGAGCAATCAACTACTTATTTCTCCCCAAATCAAAAATAATTCAGCTTATTTCTCAAACTAATCCAAAACTGGCAGCTCTAAGCCATAAAAATCACTGCAATCATGGTAATTCTCAGAAGAATTCCATCTGCTAATGATTACAATGCTTTATGCACCTGTAGCACTGCATAAAGACACCAGTAAATGGAAAGCCACCCTTTTGTTCCCCTTCATCACTGTGCTCAATATTCTGCTTTTTAGTGAAAGGTAAGATGGCAAGTTCAGAATTCATTTTTCGTCTCAGAGAATCAAAACTAAAATAAACTCAGAATGCTGACTTATAAAGTTCAGCTCTTTTTTTCCTAGGACAGGCTTTCAGAAATCTCTTTAGTTTACTTTCAAAACCTTAACAGAGACCTTTAGAATACTTTTAAAATATAAATGAACATAATAAAATCATCATCCGTGAAACAAATTACAAATGAGACCCCATTTACTAATTTTGGTGAATCTTGATGCAGCAGGCCCCCCAAAAACCGTGTCTTACATAAACAGAGTCATTTGTAGATGACAAAAGTGGGCACCATGTCTTTTCTGTGGTCAGTGCTGGAGATACGGCATTTTCTTTTGTGGCTTTCAATTGGGTGCATTATCATATTAGCAAAAATTGACTTTACAAACAATCTACTGCTTCTTCCTTCATTGTTTCAAATTGTAAGCTTTCCACCATCCAGCCACATTTTTCTGGATTTCATCTTTCTTTTCTGTTTACTGTTTTTATTACATCATTTGCAAGTCTATACTCCCAATTTATATTCATTTGAGCTGTCCTGCTAACGATATTGTCTAGCTGTTCTGTTCTCAACAAAAAGGATTAGCACCAATAATAATTTTAAAAAGCTAAACTCAAGCCAGCAATTTGAAAAACTAGTCCTTGGGGGCCCCCTGCTGAGTACTTTTAAAAATACACCTAAGTTACACAAAATTATTTGCTTATATGGATTTTTCAAAGTCTGCAATATTGCACCCTCCTAAAATAATATGCCCCCTCCTGTGAATATAATGATTTAATTGGGGTTTGGATTCAGTCAAAAGTCAATGTACCTCTCACTTGTAACAGGTAGCAGTGATGCTATGATATCTTCTTTTTAATGATCTGAGTATTTATAAGTATCTAACTCTATAAATAAGAAACAAACTGAATGCATACTTACCCAGGCTAGCTGTTGTAGATTCCAAGCCTGCCAGAAATACTGGAATTTGTTGGAGCTGGTGTTGAAGGTCCAAGAGACCACTTCTCTTTTTCTCCCAATAGGCAGAAAGCATTACAACTTCACTATCCACCAGCTGAAATTATTAAAGTCAAGGATATAATTATAGATAGCAAATTTCTCGTTTAGTTTTCAAGCTAAAGCCTCAAGTGATTTCAAAGCTGCAGAGTTCCATTCCCACTTAGCTGTAAGTAAAATAACTAATTCATAGCAATTAATTCTATGCCCTCGTAGTTTTCAATTAAATTAAATATATTTCAGCATAGTACAAAACTGATATTTCCAAAAGAATGTCCTTTTTGCAACTATTTTAAGTCTGTTAAAAATGTATAAATATATGACTAATTATTTGTCCTGCTAGGTTTTCAAGTTTATACACTCTTTTGCCGAATCTTGTCTTACACACAGTACTTTCTTTCTTCAAAATTCTAAGATGCTATTAACACAAGGTCATTCAAAGCTAAAGAACTACAGCAAATAAATCCACTATAAGTATAAATAATAGCAGCTTCATATATCTCAGTAAGGATAATGGGGTTTCCCGAATTTTAGCCCTGCATGCTGTGTCTTATTCAACATATCACTGAGATAGTTAAAAAAAAAAGAGAGCCATAAATCTAATGTTAGTCTGGATTGAATTCAGCACAATGAATTGAAATAAACAGTACAAAACAATATGTAACTGTCAATTCAGTTTAGATTTTTAACTAATCCTGTGCCGCTAAATTAATTCAGAAAACAAACTATTTCAAAATCCAGACAAGTTTTATAAAGGCATCAGATTTAACTCATTTACTCTGGAAAATGAGTCAAATCATTTTTAAAACTATTTGAATTTCTAAATCAATACTGCATTTCTACAAGACTAATTAGAATAATATTTGCTATATATGTTTATGTGAACATGGTTGGTATCTTTAAGTGGTGTCTTTAGTTTAATATCTAATTAGTTTAATATCCAATATCTAATTTAAATAAAATCATGAGGTCTCAAATGTACTGCAATCAATGTTATATTGAATTACATTGAGAGGGAAAGGTCATAGATGTTGTCTAAACCACTACTGAGTTGGTGGTTCAAGAACTCAGATGTATTCCTAAAGTGTTCTGAATAGTGATGCTGATAGATAAGACTGTACTTTAAAAATTCAAATAATTTCCATAATCCAAAATATTCTCTATACGCACCTGTGGCATGTATGTATACATTTTTAACAATAGCAATAGCAGTAGACTTATATAATAGCAATAGCAGTAGACTTATATAA